TTGATTACTGTATACTTAAAATTAAAAATCATAAATCATATAAAAATATATGTTACCAAAAATATTATCATCTGATGCCTATACATTCTTGCTCTAAAGAATATAAGGTCAACTCTAAATTTCCTAGTTTAAGAATATAAATTTTAATGAATTACTAAATTAGCTGAATGTCTCTTTCTAAAGTTTTGTCAATGGTAAAATTTTGCAGCCAATTACTATTCAAGAGGTCAATTACTATTATCTATTTCTTCATCTTTCATTTTTCTTATTGTTCTACAAAAGAAAGTAAGTCTTTATATTTACAAATTTTCTTTTAAGTTGAAATTCCTATGCAATTTATTAATAGTTATTTGTGAACTTGTCCCTTTCTTTCGTTGTTATTGTCCACATTTTTCAATATGACACTGTTTAGAGGGTTAAAATGAGTATGTGAATGAAATGAGTAATATGTGAATAAAAATATTGATGGCTACTGGTGTAGTGACATGAATACATTACATACAGGTCTCTTCAGATGAGGATAAAATGAGTAGTATATAAAGTACACATTCTGGTATGGGTTCTTTTTGTTTGAGCTTCATGACGGATAGCTTTCTTTGGTACTCAATTCTGGTATGGGTTCTTTTTGTTTATGTTTATTTAGATAGGCAATAATGATGATAACAAACTGAGAATGCATCCTAAATTAATTATGTAATGTTTAGGTGAGGCAATTTTGTGTGGAATGCAACCTACATTGATATTACAATGTTTGGCTGAGGTAATCCCTCAGAAGAGCAACCTATATTGCATCATAGTTTTATAGGAGAGACAATCTTTTATGACCAATCTATTTATATCATGAGCCCTAGTAAGTATTCATGGATTCTGGTGCTGATTTTGAGCCTGTTTAGCTCTATTTTATGTAGGAATTGGTGTTATTTTGAGCTCTGTTTGAGTTCCTGGTGCTATTTTTGATGTTATCATGCTGATTTTGGGCTATTTTAACTCTGTTTTTTTGTAAATAGGTTCGGTTCTGAGCTCTGTTTGAGCTGGTGGTGTTGGTTTTGATATTTTCATGCTGATTTCGAGCTTCTTTAGCTCTATTTTATGTGGGAATTGGTGCTATTTTTAGTTGGTGTTGTTTTTGATGTGATCATGCTAATTTCGAGCTTGTTTAGCTCTGTATTTTGTGTAAATAGGTTCAGTTATGAGCTCTGTTTGAGCTGATGTTGCTATTTTTGTTATATTCAAGCTAATTTCGAGCTTGTTTAGCTCTATGTTGTGTGAGAATAAGTGTTGTTTTTGATATTTTGATGCTAGTTTTGAGCTTGTTTAGTTCTATTTTGTGATATTTTTTGTTCAGTTTATTGCTCTATTTTGTGGGAATAGGTGCTCTGTTTTTATATTCAGTTTATTGCTTTATTTGTGTGGGAATAGGTGCTGTTTTTGCACATCGCATATGAAAAAGTAGTCCTATAATTGAAAGAGCTGGTATTATCATGTAGTCAGCAATTATATAGTTATAAATTGAATAAATTGATAGATTTGTATTAACTGTGAATTTACTAGAGCATCGAAATAGACAACTTCATAAATTGTTGCTTATGAAGCCTTTATTGATTCTGGTTGAGTATCGAAGAAATTGACAGATGAAGTCACTAAATGCAAGTTATTCTCACTGTGAGTATTCCTACATGTATAATCAATAAGTTATTATCAGTTATATAGATAGTTCACAATTCATTAATTTGACATTATTTTTCACAAAGTGACAATAATGTATAGTGTAACCTTATCACCTTTGTAGTAAATTTTTGACTCTTGCTTCCTAAATATTAAAGTACACTTTTGTTGTTGTCATTAATGAAAATGTATTGTTACTTATGTATCAATACACATGCATACAAAGGTTAATGCATATTTATAGTTCTAAATGTTAAATATATAATAGACATTGATTTAAATTTTACCTCTGAAGTTTTTTAGTAAAACTCCAGTCACCATCATAACAACATTGTTTGTATCATGATCTTTAAATTTGGAGTCAAAGTCGATTGCTAGTTTATTCCATAATGTGACCATACACTCGTCATCCCTGTAAGAAATAATGATTCATATTAATAATAATTATGTCTATGAATTTCGCATTAAGTTATAATACAATCTTACTCTTCATCTATTAGTTTAATAGATCTACGTGTCGACATTTTCCCAGAATTTGTGTACTCTCCTATCGAATAGACTTCCTTCACAATCCCTATAATGTCTTTGATAGTATATTCATAATAACTTAGCATTTATGTATTCGTAATTATAAAACAAATAAGGTCACTAATTAGTACCTCTTAGATAAGTATTCTTATTTTTATGTAAGTATAGTTCATTGAAAGGAACGAAGTTAAATTTTTATTTTCAACTCTATGTCATTCTCTGCTTGAAGAACTCTAACCACTATTTGCTTGCAAAAACAGATGAGTATTTTGCTCTCCATTGTTTTGTAATTGCCAAATGCATTAAGTACTCTGAACTTGGATATCACATGTATCTTTCCCTCTTCAAGCAATGAACTGAACCTTGACATCTCAGTATGTCTGATTGTCCCTTAACAGTGAGTGTCATATGCAGTTGAATATCAAATTATTAGTATGATCAAATATGCAGTTGAATAATTATTTTAATCTTTAATTTTTGAATTAAACCGCTCAAATTGCACGTGGTTGTAAAATTATATTTCTATAATAATATAGGACAAAGTTAATTTGTCACATGATATAGTAATAAAATGCTATTTTAGTTGTTCAGAGATGTGGTCATGACTGAGTGAAAAGAGCGTAGAAAGACAACATCCTTCACCAATTCCCATTTTCTATGAAAACGTGTCGAAGCAAACACCAAAGGCCATCTCTAACAAATGCAATATTAAACACAATGGCGTTAACAAAATTTAAAGTTCAAGAGAAATCCAATCTCAGCTACATTAATCCAACTAAAATAAGCTTATGAATTAAAAATAATAATAAATAAATAAAAAAGAGAGTGAGAATTGCTTCTTAGCTTTCAAGAGATGCTTGTGTTATTAATAGACTTACTGTGCTTTCACTTCCATCAATCCGTGGTCGTGCAGTTGAAAAACATATTTAATGATGAAAAAGCTTTGTAGAAAGCAAGATAATGGCCGAAGTAAAATCAAAAGGAGAGTAAGAATTAAACCTCAAATTTGAAGAGATGCTTGAGTTAGGATTATGACTCTCATTGAAATAGTAAGCAAACCAATCCTTGATTCCACTGCAGATCCTTGAACCTTACTGAAAACATGGAGAAATCATTGGCTCCCCTTATCAGATCCCTCGGTGAGTCCTTAAATCTCCTGTAATCCTCCTATTGCTACAATTATCATCATTAAAACGATTTCGTTCACGCCAAATTATGATTTCTCATAAAACGGGAAGAATTATAGAGATTTAAGTTTCCAAATTCTATTTAATTTCTCAAACTATTGCCACTTCTAGTTTGAGGTTTTAAGTTTATGACTATGTTTCAACTTTCATTTGTATAAAATAAAAAAAGGTAAATCACAATAACATTCATCCTTCTAAGAGATTTAATATACCTTTAGAAATTCATGGGAGAGATTGAATTCTGCATCAGAAGCGAAATTAGGCCGATGCGCTGGCTAAAATGCAAGATCTCGAAGTGATCAAAAAGTAATCATAATGAAGAATGAATTATGCAATTAAGATTTTTCTTTCCAAAATCCATTCCCCAAAAGATAAGCTACAGGGCCTGTTTCTAAGAATTTAATCAAATAGGTAGCATGCACTGCACAAAAAATAAAAAATAAAGAATCACAACTTCTCCCTAAAAACATTAAAATCAGTATTAGAAGCAGAAAATCTTCTATATGCAAGTATAGCTAAAACTGGTTTCCATGATTTTCTCTCAGAAAAGTATTAGACGTATCTCTTTAAGTAATTTAATCAAACAGGAAGCACGCACCATCAAAATGACAACTTGGACCACATAACAACACAAAAATTAGTACCAATAGCAGCAAATTAGTTGGACTATAAAAGTAACACTGAAACTTCCTTCCATAATTACCCCCCAAAAAAATATTGTATATCTCTTTAAGGAATTTAATCAAACATGTAGCGTGTCCTTTTAAAATCAAAACTTTGCCCCAGAGAAACGCTAAATATCAGTATCATGAGCTGAAAATTCACTAGATTTCTTCTTGGACGTCGATTTCTTCATCCTCGTCAGCACTTGAGACGATAAGTCGATAAGCGGCTTCTTCTTCTTCTCATTCTTCGAATTCTTTACGCTCGAAGAGGAAGCGGCGACGTAGGGGTCCTTCAATATCTTCTTCTTCGTCGCGAGATCCTCCTCCTCCGCCACCGTCGGAGAGGTTTCGCTGATCGATAAGCTTCTTCGGGCGGCGGCGGCGGTGAAAGCGAATAATTTGGAGAGGTTCTTGCGCATTGGCAGCGAGCGAGAACTTGATTGAGCTCGCTCGAGATTCGAGGGTTTTCTTTGTGTCTCGAATTTGGAAATTGGAGGAAAATTTGGGAAGAGGAAAATCGTGAAGGCGTTGGAGGTGTGAGCGTCGAGTGGGGTTTTGAGCCATTTGTGAAATTTACAGATTATATTTATTTATTTATTTCTCTATTATTTGTGAAATTTACATGAAAGCGGGTATTGGGCTTTGGATTGCAAAGTGGAGCTATTGCTTTGGCTTTGAGTTTTTTAAAATTTGAAATTCAGATTGTCCCACCTACCTGTTCATGCTACAGTAATTAATTTAGTGTTGAATTTAGTGTAGCATGAACATTGATCCTCCTATTTGTATAAAGGAATAGATTTTTGCAACTTATTTAGTATTTTCGATCCAATTTTAGCCGGGTTGAATTAGGTCGAAAATGCTAAGTTACTCCCAAATAAGTCCATTTTTATAAATAAATTTCATACAAGGTTGGTTTTGAAAATTTGTCGTGACGAAAATAACTCGAACTGTTCCTCCTCGATCGGCTAGATCTGCTCTTCTCCTCCACCGATTTAGAAACAAAACCCTCGGTCTCTCAGCTCTCGCCATGGAGGACTCGGGCCCCACTAACAATGGAGACGCGTCCCCACTCCCTAACGGATCCGATCCGGATTCCGCGCCGGTGATCGTTGCAGGATCAAGCGGCGTCGTATCAGACAGTGATCCTTCAGGCGTTAAGTTGGAGGCTATGATGGGCGAGGGGAGCCGTACTTTTACGATGAGGGAGCTTCTAGATGAATTGAAAGAGGACCATAATGGATCTGATGGCAGCAAGAATGTCGGCGACAGCCCTTCTTTCAGGTTCCTCTTCAAGTCTTCATCTATTTCCCCGTTGTAGATATTTTTGCTGATTAGATTTAGGACGCAGTTGAGTCAATTTCGGACTAGATGATAAAATTTTCTCTTATTTGCTACAGGATTTTCCATTTATTCTGTTCCTTTGATAAATTGAAAGCTATTCATTGTAAAATTTCAAAACTAACTACCTTATTGTCTTCCACAACAGCACGTTTCGCCTCTAGATGAATGTACTTTTATCATGCAGACTTGATTGTTTGATTGAAACAGTGCTAGACTCTCATATCCTGGTGTGCATGACTTTACATTGGAGAGAGCCTACTCACTCTTCGTCATGCTCTATGCCAAAATTGTCTATGTAAAGTGTGATCTTTAAGTAGTTACATTTCCAATTAATTATTATGGTGCATGAATTCTTTAAGGCTGTGCCCGTGTTGTCAGTACTGATGCTTGCTTGATTAATTCATGATCTTGTTGTAGGACATAGTTGGCTTCTTCCACTAAACCTACCATCCCAGTCATTACCACTAATCCATTCTCTATACGGTTGCTTATGGTTAAAGTCACTACCCTTGACATTAATGCTATATTGAATCCAAAATGATTTGCCGCATTTAAATGACTAAAGTCATCATCATTATCAAGATTGTTGTTGCTGTCCTTTTTGCCATTACTATAACTGTCACCACCTTGATTTGTGCATCATGTCCTTGAAGAGTGCGGAGATCCTTTCTTTGTATTTTTTACATTCCTTGCCATCCACTTTTAGATGTTAAAACTCCAAACTATGAAATATTTTTTCAAGGGCCTCTTGATTTTCAGTAATAATTATCTATACAATTAATCATCTAAATGTGATCACCATGTGTTTAGGAGCTAGAACCGAGAAGGGGCACGAGGCTTGAGAACAAGCCATTTGCAGCATAAGCACAAAATGTAAAACGACTTGCAAAGGAGATTATTAAAGCTCTTGGTTCTAATGTTCATCATTTTTCGGTTAGATTATATTGTATAAGCTTAGGTTTCTTAGATTTTGTTTAAGAGAGGAGATTGTTTAAGATTGAATTACTAATGTTCATCATACTTTAGTTAGATAGTTTACGGGATTAAAGAATGTTAAGGTGATCCTTTGCAACTACTATACTTGCAAACAGTAAGTCTTTTGCTTTGGATTATTATTTAGTACTTGTGTTTTTCAAAATCCTTTTAAAAGACATGGCTGGTGTCATAATCATGAATCTATGATAATGAATTAGTAAAGTTTGCATGATAATAATACAACAAGAACGCCTCTATCCCAAGTGTTTGGGGTCGGCTACATGAATCCTATTCTTCCATTCCGTTCTACTATGGGCCATCTCCTCTGTTAAGCTAACCATAACCATATCCTTCTTAATTGATTCTAACCAAGTTCTTCTAGGTCTACCTCTAGATCTCTTTGCTCTATTAACTATAATATTATCACTTCTCCTAACTGATGCATACATTGTACATGGCCATACCACCTTAATCAATTCTATCTCATTTTATCATCTGTAGGAGCAACCTCTAATTTACTACGGATGCACTCATTTCGTATCCTATCTTTTAGTGTATACCCACAAGACCATCTCAACATTCTTATTTCTGCTGCACTCATTTTTGGCACATGTTATTTTTAATTGCCCAGCATATTCTGATCCATAAAGCATTGTTGGTCTAATAACTGTCCTATAGAATTTTTCCTTAAGTCTAACAGGTACTCTATGATCACACAAGACTCCTGAAGCACTCCTCCATTTTAACCATCCCGATTTGATTAGATTGAGAATATCATCCTCAATCTCACCATCATGCTAAATGATTGATCCTAAATAGCGAAATTGATTGCTTTTAGATATTTCTTGGCCATCAACACATACTCTAGGCTCTTTTCTCCTAGTTTGCATGATAATGAATTAATAAAATTTTCCTAACTTCTTGTCATTTATCTAACCTCTTTTACGTTTTTAACTTGTCTATATTTATCTATTTCTTCATTTTGCTGAGAATCAAACTGCCAACCAATTTTTTTGCGTTATTCAGTTACATCGACGTTGAAAGGCTTGAGTTCTTTTATTGTTTCTTCTCCATTGCTGCATTTGTATATATGCTTTCATGTAGCGTAAATATGCCATATTCTCTTTTTGTTCATAATGGATGTGTTAAACGTGAGCTTGTTGGCTTTGTTTTATCATTTAAGTGAAATTTGTAATAGATATGTTATTATTATCTCTGGATGCTCTTACATTCTAATCCCTTTATTTCAGTCAAGATAGCTCACAACAACAACATAGAGGCCACCAGGATACCTCTCTTGATTTGATCAACAACATCAGTGGAGTAGACGAGGATGGTCGATCTCGCCAGAGAATTCTAGCATTTGCTGCTAAGAGGTATCTTCTTCTATAGCTATTGTCTTCTCAGCTTTCTAGTTGTTATTCTTCAAGACAACTTTGACTATATCATACTTAAACTAACATTTTTGTTAGATAATTGCTATGAATATACTTGCTGATAGTATTACTAACATGTCCTGCCTCATACAGTGAATAAAAGCTAGACTCCTCACTTTTAGTGTATCTCTTATAAGATTGAACTACTGTCTGTGCTCAAAGATTTCTACTTTTACAAGATTAGCCATGTGTTTGATGGTCACATGGTAACATAAAATCAAAACTTGCACATCTTTGTATCGTTTACTTTAGTTTCTCTTTACTTAAGTGTCTGGTATTAATGAATAAGCATGGGGTACTTTCCTCCAGAATGATCACTGTTCATGTGTATTTAAGTGACTGGTAGCTCCTACAACCATCAAATACAGGAAAATATCACATCATTTTGATTTCTGTTTACTCTTTCATGAATCAGTTATGGTTTACATTTTACAATAGAATTATTATTACACAACTCTAAGAATATTCAATGTTATTTAGTTTATTTAGTAAAGTGGAAACATCATAAATCTCTTTCCTATCTTGAGATCTAGATGCTTCATACAATTCTGTAAATTCCTTTACTTTGTTTCATAAAGATCATGTTTTTTCCTTATTCCAAAACTATCAATATATGTTGTTTACAAACAACTAATGCTGAAGGAAGGTCTGCTGTAACACATCTTGCAGTAAATGCAGAAAATTGTACTTCTGCCTGCACAGATTGGGTTGTACATCACAAGATCTAAACTTAGATGGATTAGTCATGATTTTAGGCCAAGATCCTTGCTAGTAGGATGAAAACATCTGAGATAAGTTCTGGGGCTGCAAAGTCTAAAAGTTTCTTTTCTGAACTTAAATATTATTAAGGTACGGTCATTTAGAAGTTCTTAACTAAGTTTCTTGGTTGGTTTCTTGTTTTCTATGTGGAAGTAGATTGGCTATGTCCCCAAAAGTGTGAACGTTTGGTTTTAGAAGCCTTCTACTTTAGGAAGCTTTTCTTCATGTTACCTAGGATAGTTACATTAATGAGTTCAAGTAGATTTGGATCCTACCAAGAAGCCTTTCTTGAGGCTTGTTTTGTAAAATGGATATGCATTAACAAATGCAATATACATAACTTCTATGTGTATCTTGTCCTTTTTATTGTATTCTTTCTCAAACTTTAAGTTATTTCTTTCTCCCTCTTTTCTACTAGATGATTTTTGTTTTACATCTCTCAAAGGTCATCCTTTTGACCATCTATTGGAGTTCAGATTTAACCAGATGCCTTAGAAGTCTCCATTAGAGTATTGGGATCACCTTGACTTCTCTTTCCTAAGATGTAGATTATTGAGTTCTCGCTGGACTCATGTTATGGCATCCCTGTAGGTTGCGTCAGATCAGTCTTAAATCTAATGGCTATTCCATGAGAAATTAATATGCTGTCGTGCAATTTGGTTATATGAGTAAACGATTGTGCCCAGGGTTTTGAAGTCATGATAGGCATGGTGATTTTCACTTGCACATTTAATATTGGAAATAAGTTTTTCTAGCAGGGGATAATGTTGAATAGCTCTACATTTTTTCTCTTTTGTTATCTTGCTTAAATTTTTTAATTTTATTGATCTTTGGATGTGAAGGGTATAACTAACGCTGATCAAGAATAAGAGTTGATGTGGGAGTTCTTTGATTGTTTTAATTTTATATTTAAGTTATTCTTAGTTACTATGGAAATTTGTTTGTGTAAAAGAAATTTTTATCCCTATAGAGTTGCTTCTCGCATTGAATTGATGTATAAAAAAATAATCTCGTAATGAATTGGTCCAAGGCTTGCGTCATTAGGATTATTTTTAAAGTTAGCTTGAATTAAGTACTTGTATGGAGATAAATAGACATTTTGGTTTCCTTTTCTGAGTCTATTAGAAAGCGTGTGAATATTCCTTTGTTTTCCAAATGTTCTTCCCTCCCTTTCTTTACTTTCTTTTGACACCCTCTTCATCTTCTATAGTTTTTTCTCTTTCATTTCCTCATTGTATTTGAGACTCAGCATCAGCATTATAAATTTCTGTTCATTATTCATTCTCTTATGCATTCCTTATTCATTAGTATACCTTCCCCTTTCACATTACTTCAGACTGATGAAACCTAGTGTTCTCCGTGACATTCTTTCTTTTGGCTTGACATGAGTAAGAAATGACTTAAAGAAGTTTGCTAGACGAACCGATTTTATCTTTAACATTTTTCTACTTCCTTGGCATGGTTTTTTTTTTGTACGTCTCCTTTCATTTGCTCATATTTCTGAATTTTGTGACTAGAGATACATTGAGGGCTTTCAAACATGAGAAAGTGTCAATATAGATAAGTACCCATCCATACAGCAACTGTATTTAAAGAATAAACCTTCATGTTATTAGGGGAATGATGGCTTGTTTGATATCGGATATTACTTCATACGTTCCAGCCTTGTAAACTGTGAAGGTTATATGTCATGTTGGTGGAAATTCATATCTAAGTCATATCTGATTGTCTGTAAGTCAAGTAACATCTTTGTTACCTATTGTAGATATGCTAATGCTATCGAAAGGAATCCGGACGACCATGATGCATACTATAACTGGGCATTGGTGCTTCAGGTGTGGCTCTGCTGTTTGCTTTAACATTTTATTCTTAGTCATAATCTCCATTAAGTCTTAGGCCATGCGTAATGTCCTGTCAAATACATTTTTCTCACACCATGATTAAAGAAAATAATCTTTAAGACAAAGCGACTGCAAATAGATTGCTAGTCTTATGTACAGCTTAGTATAATATTTGTCTGCATCATGTTGCATAGGAAAATTCAACCTAAGCTTCCTTTCATCAAACAGTAAAATAAAAAGTATTCTCAATAACTGAAGACTAGTGCATACCCTGTGCAAAGCACGACCTCCTTTCTTTTTTAAGCATTGCATTTTGAACATTGCTTCCCTCTAAGGTTTATACATTTGATATAATTATTGTATGCTTAAAATTAGAAATCATATCTACTGCTCTATACTTAAAGGGTACTGTAGTATTTATTGTAGCATGAACAATAAATCTTTGGATCTTCCTTTAAGTATAGAGGAGTAGATATGCAAACTGGAGAAATAGTAGTGGAACCTTTTTCTTTTCCTCAATTTTACAGAGAAGCTGAAATTCATGTAACCACATGCCACCTTTAATTGAATACTTTTTAGAAGTGCTGAGGGAAACATGCAACAGTCTGATCTCCAAACAATTTTAGTTGGATAAAGGTCATATACTATGGAAACATGCAACAATCTAATCTCAGATACTAGCTATGGTCCTTATTCAATATTAGCTATTGAAGCTTCAGTGCAATTTCACCATAGGCACATAAACTTTCAGCAATCTAATCGCCAATACTACTATGGTCCTTATCCTGATTATAGCTATTGAGTCTTCTATGTATTTCACCGTGGGCACTTACAACAGTTCACAAAGAAAGCATACTTAAGGCCTCATTTTATGCGCAATAAATATTAGAGATTAGACAATAAAAATTTTATACATAATATTAGTGCTGATGTTATCTATTTTTTGACAAGGAACAAAAATATTTGCCAAGAAACCGAGTGAGAGAAACTAATTCATGTGTTCTTGGAAACCAAAGGGCAGGGATTTAAAGGATTTGATGTTGTGGTATAGTATGTACAGATTTAGCCACTTAAATATGTGCTACAACAGTTTCTAAGGTTTGGATTGTATTGGACCATACATATTTGCTGTGATAGATTAAATCAGAGCATTTTTATCTGCTAACAACTATTCACTCTAGTTGATTCCATTAGACAATGGTAATTTGATTACAATGTTAGAAAAATGATCTGGGCCAAAAGTCAGTAGTATTGTTTGAAAGGTTTTTGGTCTCATCCACTCTCCGTCTGATACCAATTGAAACTGGACAGTGGTGAATGCTAATATAGGAAGAGATGAACAAGGGAAACTTGTTTTTTTAAATATTAAAAATTTATTTGAGGGCATTGTTTTTTGGAAAAAGAAAACAAGAAATAAACAGCTGAAACTATTGGCTGTAAAACATGGACAAGGGTATGATTTTCAGTATGGGCACATGACATGACAATTTTGTGAAAGGTAGGTTATGGGGTTCGACTATATAGCAACAACAATAATAATAAGTTGGCTAAATATTAGAAAACTCCCCTAAACTTTTGACGATTATCGAATAACCCCCTATAACTTTGAAAATATAAGGAAACCCCTCTTATGTTTGAGGGTTAAAAACCTCTTTACCTTTGAGATTTTATTAGAAAACCCCTTTATGTGTTTTTTTTGCGGGGGTGGTGGTGGGGGGGTTTATCTAATAATCGTCCAAAGCTAAGACAGGCTTTTTGATAATTGGCCTAATAAGTTTCATGAGATCAATATTGTCTCATTCATGTTCTGAGAATTAAAATTCCTATAACATGTTCGGGTAATTGCATATTAGTCCATTAAATCTTCTTTAATTGCCAAAAAGTCCCTCAGATCTTCAATTTTCTTGCCAAAACGTCCCTTTGGTTAATAATTAGGGTAAATTTGAAGATTTGAGGGACGTTTTGGCAATTAAAGATGATCTAAGGGACTAATATGCAATTGCCCCAACATTTTTATGTTTTTCTATTATGTTGATCTTGAATTAGAATGATGCTCGTTTTTGAACCAGATACCTAAAAGACCTTTTAAAATGATAGTTCTGACAAGATAGCAGATCCTTAGACACTGTTATAAATAACGGTAAATAGCCCCGTAATAGCGGCGCTAATAGCGTTAGCGGTCCCTTCCCGCGACGCTATCGTCCGCTACGCTATCGCGCAATAGCGGTGACATATTGTGGAATATGTCTGTTTGTAAAAGCGACCAATAGTGTGTCATAACGGTAAATAGTGAGCGATTGCATTCGAAATTTGCTTTTTGACTGTCATTTAAAAGCGGTTTGAGGCTTTTTTTTTTAATTAAACTCAACCCTTGACCATTGCATTCCACCGTCTCCTGTGATTTTCAGCATACTCCCGTCACCTCTCATAGCCTCTGACACCTATCTTGATACTTCCTCTCACCTCCTTCACCGTGAGCTCCTCTTAGGGTAGTCCTGTCACCGTTAAGTTCTTGTCACCGTTAAGTTCTTCTTCTTGAAGACGATGATTTTTTGACTCCTCCAGTCATCTTCGGTATTACGTGATGGTTACATGTCTATTTCATGTTTAGGATCTCTTTAAATAATCTAATATGTACTTTTAGATTTCTTAGATTTTTCTTTAATTTTCTTTTGTTTAGTATTTATACATATCTAAATTAGACCGCTATTTGACTTTGCGCTTTTTACCGCTATTTTACCGCAATAGCCTGAAATAGCCTTAGCGACGTCTCACCGCTACGCGACGCTATCCGCTATCGATAACCTTGTCCTTAGAAGACAAAAACCATAGCCTTTGATTAGTCAATGACTTAAAAAACCCCGACGCTTTTAGAGCTACAAAGGTTTAGGCGGGCCTGGGAGAGGGGGAGTATGTCAAGTATTTTCCTGGAATAATGTCTTCTTAGGTTATTTGCATGACCATAGTAAACTCCTCGTTGTACAGAAATGGTATGATTTATACAATCAATGAGTAGGTTGTTTACTTATTGTTCACTATATGCATTTCATATTATATTTACTTACTGTTCTTTAATGCAGCTGTTTGCGTATCTATTATTATTGCACTAATCGAGCATTCCTATACTTATACTTATCTATTACATACTTAAACTTCCATTTTCTTCGACACTATGAACCTTGTCTTGTACTGAGGAACTGATATTGTTTCCAGCCGACAAACTGAACGCTTCAGTTCCACATCAGGCATTGTTTTGCAAAGAAGTTAATTATCAGTTAGTGGGAGCTTGGAGAGTTATGCAATTTTGCTAGGAATAGTTTCTTATCGAGTAGTTCTTTTGTACATTGTGGATATCACATAGAGGGATAAGGCTTCTCATAGACGGATAAGGCTTCTTGATCTAGTTTTCTGTTCTGCTATATATATATATATATATATATATATATATATACATGCTGTTCTGTAGATATTATATATTATATATATCTTGATCATAGTTTTCTGTTCTGCCTATATATTTTATTATTATATATATATTATATATATATATAGATATATATTATATAGTATATATCTATATATATATACTAGAAACAGAAACTAGATTCAAGTATATATATAGTATATATATATATATATTATATTGATCTAGTTTTCTGTTCTTGCTAGAGAGATATATATAGCTTGATCTAGTTTTTGTTCTGTATATATATATAATATATATATAGCACAGAACAGAAAAACTAGATCAGATATATATATATATATATATATATATATATATATATATATGTATGTATATGTTGTATATTATACCTATATGTTATATATGTATATATATTCTACAATATACATAATATATATAATATTATATTATATAGCCAGACAGAAAACTGATCAAGATAGCCTTATCCGTCTATGAGAGCCTTATCCTTACGCATGTGATAATCCACAATGTATACAAAAGACTATTATATAGAATATATATTATTTATATATATTATATATATATATAGAGAGAGATGAGGATAGAACTTGTGTAATTAGGTGATAGTGAATAGTGTGTCCACCAAACTTTATATCCATTATTAACATATAAAAGTCATCATATCATGCAAGGATCCCTTAGGAAACATTCTAAGGGTTAAAAAGTTTAGTGATGTCACTTAAGTGCGACACAAGTTTTGCTCTATATATATATATATTATATACTTATATATATATTATATATATTATATATTATAGTTACAGATATAGATATACATATAACATTATACATATACATACCACATAACATACAGATATAACATACAGATATATATATACATAGTATATATATATATAATATATATATATAATAAATATATATATAGATATATAATATATAATATATATATGTGGTGTGTGTGTGTGTGTGTATATCTGTATGTGTATATGTATATGTGTATATGTGTATGTATATATATATTGTGTAATATCTGTATGTGATATATCTGTATGTGTATATGGATATCTATATATGT